AGTAGTAGTAGTAGTAGTAGTGTTTAAAGGGGCGGGTGTAACTGTCAGGGCCTTAGTACATTAGAAAGGGTCTGGAGGTAGACTCGTTTTGGAGTTCAGGGTTGAAGATCTTATAGAGTTCGGGCTCATCAAGTACAGCCCTGGATCTGCGGCTCAGGATTGAGGGTCTGGGGTCAAAAAAAATGCCGGAAACAAAACAATAGCGAAGGCAACGACTCTTTCTTCGTTATGACTTTGGCCATGACGGTTACTGTAGCAAACGCCATAGTGAGTAGAAGAACGGTGGACTCACTGTCACGGCCATCATTCTCGACCTCATCCCTATCCTCAGAATCCAGACCAGAGCAGTACTTGTTCAGGGTTTACGGCAAGACCGCGATTTGGCAACCTGAGCAGAACAACTACGTGGAGGTCTGGCGACGAGAACTCTATGACTTGCAAAGGTGTATGCCCTGCCACGGAACCAAATGATGACAGTGGGTATTGCCAGAAAAGTTTTGAGCCCAGATGACACAGGAACTGCACAGCTTCTCGTACGCTGAAGCCTCCGCTTTGGGACTTGGGGTAGAGCATGTAAAGGATTGAAGTGCTGAGCGTTTTATAGGTTTTGGATTTATTGCGTAATGTCAGCGTTGCATAGAGGTACTGCCAATAAAAAGATTTTAGATGCAAACCGCAGCTGCTGTTCAGGAGGCTCAACAGGTCATTATTGAAAGCACCGAAGTCCCAAACGGCGACAGTCAGCAGCTTCTGCATAGTGGGATCGTCGTCAACCAACCATAGCATCTTCAGCTGCCGGACAAGTCTTTCCTTGTCTTGGTCGGTGACGTGAGGGCCGGGGTCCATCAGTAGCTTGACCGTTAGGGACACCCACTTCTGACACTGAGGCTTGCTCAGCGAGCATAATATCTTCTCAAGTATGCTCGTGCAAGACCTTGGTCACGCGCAACTTATGCGCCAACTTGAAACACGTAATATACCTGTTTCAAGCTGGCGCGTATGTTGGACCTGACCAACTCTTCCATGCGTGCGAGCATGCCCTCTGCAATTTTGCGCCATGAAAGGGAGGGCATCACTCGAATGATTGTGCGCAATGAGGTGGGAGGCATGATGGAGGAATCTGCACTCCAGCAGTGCCGCAGCACATATTGCAGGTTCTTGCCGACCGTGCGGCGAACGTAGCTTTCGCTGAAGTGGGTGAAGGTCTTCGACGCCAGGGCCAGGCACCACAATCGACACTCACACAGCTTCTGCTGCTCGGCATCGCCTTCAAAGGCTGACTCAGATGACACGTGCGGGCTCACACCGAATAGCTCTAACTTTGACGCGAAAGCGACAATTGCATTCGGCGTGTCCATGCTACCCATCTCGGCCAGCTGCGCTGTCAAGGCCTCCGGGCTTCTGGTGCGTCGCAAAACCAGGCGCCAGCTCAGCAAGTCCTGCACGCCCAGGTGCGGCAATAGGTTTGCCACATGGAGGTCGGAGGGGGTGCATTCCCCAGCGCCGACGAGGTCACCGTCTGTGAGCTCCGTTGGCGACCGTCGGCCCTCGATGCCAAGGGGCTGAGCGGCATCCTTGGGCTCGGCCAAGGCCTGCCCATCACCACGCGGCCGCTGTTCTCCTTCGTCTTGGGCATCCGACGCGGATGCGGGCGACTCATCGCCTCTCCCGCCCTGTGGGTCGCTGTGGAAACCTTCGCTGATCCGAATTTCCTTTGGCGGCTCCTTGGACGGAGCTTCCTGGCACTCTGCAGCGACACTCTCAGGCACATCGCAGCTATCACTGCGCTGGGGGCAAATCGACAGGTCTGGGCCTAGCCACATCGCAGCAGGAGTTGAAGGCGCCACGGTGTCCTCTGACACGGGAGAGCCGGCGCCCTCCGTTGCCACGGTCTCCTCTGACGCGTCAGAGACGACGAGAATCCACTCGGCATCGGGTCTTTCTTCGCTGTCGCTGCCAGGGCTCCGAGTGTCGGTGCTTTCCATGTCGCAGTCAGGCTTCAAGAGCTTGTTCACAAGATTCGAGATCAGCTTCTGGTCCTCGAGCAGGTTCTGCTGCAGGCAAAGCTGTTGATTGGTCTGTGCCAACTGTGTGCAGACTGCGTTCAGCTGGTGCCAGAGCAGGGCGACTTGGACGTCCTGCTGCAGGTACCACACGTGGCCCTCGCTAGGCCATGCTTGTCTGTCAACCATGGCTCGGCTACAGGAGCAGATTTCTCAGTGTCTTGGGCCTGTCAACTAAGCCCCCTTTAGGAATTCGGCATTTTATTGTTGGTTTGAGGGGGAGTCTTTACTCACGGGACAGGACCCCTGACTCAGGAAACCTCCCATATCACTCTCATCACTATGACAATTACTAATTATAACTAATGGCCGATTAGGTCGAGCCTGGAGTGTATTTGCAACCCCCGAATGCTAAACATGACACCCGAGACCCGTCAACCCGTAGCCTATAGCCGAAACCATGTGAACCGTGAAATAACGTGGGCCTTGCCTCTAACCCCGGAGCTTGAAGTGAGTGAAACAATCCTGGGGTTTTGTCTGAAACCCTAAACTTCCTTGGCCCTTGACCTCGAACTATACCAGAAATAACAAGTTCAAACCCGTGAGTTCCCTCCACACACACACACACGCACGTGAGCTAGGCAGCTAATCTCAATTTTGGATATATACTGAAATTGACTGCGGCTCATGTGGTGGAGCAGCACCGACCTCCGTGTTGTCGCGTCCCGGGTTCTGGCAGGATCAACCGCGTTTTGTCAGGCGTTGGGATTGACGGTTTAGGAATCTGCCAAAGAAGAAGCTCCTACATAGGACAGGAAGGGAGACTGACTAGCAGGACGTCCAATCATCAAAACTACTAGACCTTGCCTTTAAAGTCATACAGAAGAGATCCTTCGTTAATTGCTTTGGGGGTTTGCTACTATATGACAACAATAATAGGAACCATTATCATCACAGTAATGGTGGTGGTGGTAGTAGTAGTAGTAGTGGTGGTGGTAGTAGTAGTAGTAGTAGTAGTAATAATAAGAATAATAAGAATAGAACCAATCCTAGTAATGGTAATAACAATAATAATCCTAATAACAACAGAAATTCAGTTGTAAGGATAATCATAATGGTACAAATAGTAATACCAATGCCAATAACGGAGGGACCGTTTTTGGGAATGCGTCTTCTCCGAATCGTCGGGGCCGGCCGCGGCAAGCAGCAGGTTTACGGTTTGGGCTGCACACGCAAGAGTTTGTCGCGTTGGACTAGCATAGGGCAAAGGGGGTCGTAGTGATTAGAAGGATGTGTTATACTATAGATATAACAAGGAACCCCAGATTGTGTTGGTAATTAATAAGGCCGCTATATTACTCATATCAGACGCCAATGGTCTAGCCAGTCATGCGACAGCGAATTAGCTCGTAAACTCTGCTGGCGGCTGGTCTGAGTCATGGTGGTCTTGAACGTTTTTGCAATCTCACCAACTACGGCTGAATCAACTGAGGCTTAACAAGTGACACGGTCCTGACACAAGGTAATTAGTGAAACTCGTGCTTCACTACATACTTCCACTGAATTTAGGCTCTAGCACAATGTATGCGATCCGTAGAGGGTCTGGGTGAATCGAACGAAGGCTTCGTGGCCGCCTCCCGTAACATCTGGATCATGTCCTCGAACTGGCTCTTTCGGGCGACCCGCCGGAAAGGGTCCTCAAACCATGTTTAGCTGGTGAGGGGTCTGGGGCAGGGGCTTGCTATCATGGTTAGGAGTAAGACAAACAAAGTTTGTGCATTTAAATAAGGAGGGCCACCTAGAGTTTCGCAGCGGCTTCCCAAGATTCTGCAGGGATGTAAATGGACATGATTGAACTGTCGCGAATTGTATGATTTCTGACTGAACGTGTTTACATGGGCACCGCGTCTGATGAATGTGCAAAACTGCATTCCGCCCCCAGACCTCCAGCTGAAAATATAGCTTTCAGTTGAACCATGGTCTAATCTAGTCTTGCGAAGTCCCATTGCAACAAAGTTCTTGCTTTCAGGGCCCGCGTTTTGGCGATGTTTACTTTCGCACCCGGTTCAAGGTGAATTTCGGAAGATTCGCAGAGGCACCTCACTGCCCTGGCTGGCATAGATCGCGCTGCTGTCCTCGGCGTCGTAGGACGCAGCCTCGGGCATCAGCTTAGGGCGCTTCGCAAGCCCTTTGGGTTTCGAGTTTTACAAGATCTGATGATAAGGTTTTACGGAGAAAGGGCTCCTTTGTAAGATTGTCTTCTGCATGGCCCTACATTCCCCTTCTGGGACCGCAGAAACACAACGCCAAGGGCGTCTGCAGCAAATCAAGACATGAGATCCAGAGGGTAGACAAGAGCTGAAAGCATTGGATATAATCAATATGACGGTCTTGATTTGTACAACAGGGTTTGGGGGAATGAATACATACATACATATTACATACATACATACATACATACATACATACATACATACATACATACATACATACATACATACATACACACCTACTTCAAGTATAACAAGGCATCCCAAAATGTTGTTTGTGTTCAGGCTTCTGTATCATCCTTCAGATCTCAAGAACTCAGAGCTTTCTTTCTGGAAGGCTCCGGGCTGAGGTGTTCTGGGGTCTACGGCTGTAGGGATTACGACTTTTCCTGGAGATCCACTGTACAATCAGAGCTAAGTTTCCTGGCCCAAGAGGGGTTACCTTGTTGGTTGCGTTAGGGCGAGAAGGATGATACGGTTTGGGATTGAGCGACAAGAATAGGACACACACGGAGCATCCCGGAGCTGTCAATGGGTTGCCTACTGAGCTGCTAAGCTACAGTCAAATCGTTCTCGACGATCATCCAGCAAGCTGTGTCATTAAATCCGAACAATATTACGTGCACCGTAAAAAAATGCAGCCGTGGCAACATTACTCATACCCAGGCATAGAGAAAACAGGAACACCAAACCCATGATGATGATGATGATGATGATGATGATGATGATGGCGATGACGATGATGACGATGACGATGACGATGATGATGATGAGAATGGGGATGGGGATGAGGAGGACAAGGAGGATGAGAAGGATGAGGATGATGAGGATGATAATGAGGAGGGTGAAGGTGATGATGATGATGATGATGACGATGATGATGATGGTGATGATTATGATGTTGATGATGATGAAGATGAAGATGAAGATTAAGATGAAGATGAAGAAGAGGAAGATGATGACACACATGACTGTCTGCCAATTCATATTTTGATATAATGAGAAGAATTTGCAAGAAACCCTTGGGGTGCTCAGATGAGGACGAGTGCAGCCCATGCCTGCAGTAGGCTGAGGCGATGCTGCTTAGAGTTTGGGTTCTAAGACATGGGTCATTTAAACAAGCGGTTTTCCTTTTAGGGCTTCAGCCCATAAACCCTGAAAAGGCCTTGTTGGACATTTGCCGCTCTGTGATACTACTTGCAGGGACCTAGTGAGTAGGGCTGCTTGAATTGGAGTTTATAGTGTGTAGTGAGTAGTAATTAGCTTATATAGAGCCTGATATATGATCCTTTGAGGCTACGTGCTCCAAGGCCTTCGAGATTTTGGCTTTCTCCGAAGCTCCATGCACCTCGACCTAGTTGCTGGGTGCCTTGGCAACAAACGAGAATTGAAACAAACTGACGCCCCAAATCTACACTGCTAAGTAGCCCAATATACACTTAGTGGGAAGTAGCAACTTGGGTTACAAAAGACAAAGTAACAACTGTGCTTACTTGCCTTTAACCCCCGCATAATGTACTTATGTAACTTATAAACATACTGGCTACGTCCCGTGATCCCCCAAGACAACCCATGAACCTGTATGATCCCCGACAAAAACCCTATATAGCCTTATTCCCTGACCCACTACTGGTCAGGAGGTCTTGGGTTGAGGGCTTCAGGGTGGAACGGCGGACTCCACGAGAAACACACGAGGAACGAAATCTTCGACATCATGAAATCAGGGCGCACCGTATTGTGTAGGGGCACTTACAATAGGGGTTCAGGGTCCATATTCTGATTGTCTGGAACTCCCACTGGAATACTAGCCCCTTGAAGACACCCTTGATAGAAACCGTTGTAGCAACCCAAATGAAACCCTTTTAGAAACCCTTGTGGACCACCCACGCAACCGGTCGGGCTTGAACTCTCGGCTGGTTGTTCCCGCCTCGTCGCCCACCTCATCTGCGACCACCCTGGGCAGAAATAGTCTGGTCGAATCCCTAGCATGAAATCATCCACCTCTACTCCCCAACCTAAGCGTTGAACCCTAAACCCCCGCCCTCAACCCCTTTAAAAGAAAAGCAACAGAACAGTCGAGGAGCTGCGGCTCCCCCGCTGGAGGCTCAGGCTCGCCCTGCGACGCTGGGCTTTGGGGCTTCGCACTCCAAGGGGGGCTTAAAGTGGGTGCAGGGTTCCGGGTTTAGGAAAAAGGGGGTTTAGAAAGTTTAGGAGTACAGTATGGGGGTTTGGGGCTTTGAGGGTTGAGGGGCTCCGAGTCTGGGAGTTGCGTGCTTTGGAGTTGAGGGGCTCATGGACTTGGGGTTTAGGAGGTTAGGACGGGCATCTGGGCATGCAGGCGGTTAGGAGTCTAGACAAGGAATCGGAAGCTTCCGCCCTTACGGCAGCACCCCCAGCGTTCAACCCACCCTGGTGCCGCGAGTTTACGACTAAAGGTTCAGCCCAGGATTTCAGGCCTGGGATGCAGGGTTTAGGGCCCTCATTCCTTGTCTTAATCAGAACTGAAGGGTTGCTACAGCTGCATCCTCTGCGGCTTCAATATCGGCTTCAGTTGCCAGGATATACTGAGGACCTGCATTTAAGCAAAAACTACAAGCTTGACCAGGAACTGATAGGGAACCTCAACATCGGGCACAGGCACGGGTTTTGGGCCTTAGGGGTTTTTATGGGTCTACCTGGACCCGAAAAAGCCAGAAGGGGTTAAGGTTGGGGTTAATTGCTGAAGGTCGGGACTCAGAGGTTCGGATATTAAGTTCCTGAAGGTGTCCCGCGTCCTCGTCTGAGCTTTGCGGCACATTCGGGAAGCCTGGCGGGAGAAGACCTTGGAATCGTGCCCTCCCTTTGCAGGCTCGGGATTTGTGGGGCTAAGGGTCTGAAAAGGCGTAGAGTTTGGGGGGTTTCTGAGCTTCAGCGGGAGTCTGCGGGGTTTGAGCTTTCGGGCATGTAAGGGATCTGCATTCAAGGCCGCAGCACTGAAATCACGTCGAAATCCAGAAAATCTTATGGAGCTGGCAAGCAATCTGATCCCTGATCAAGAAGCCCCTTTCCCTCAAAGCAGTGAGACTGTGTGATGGAGTTTCAAGTCCGCCTCTGCTAAGTAGTCTGCCCCTGTACATAAGTTGGGCCAACCTCTCAACACTTTCGACAGGTTTGCGGCTGCGGTCTGTGCATCCTCTAGAGTAAAGGGCTTAGCTTGGGGCTAAGGCGTTAGTACTCATGGCTCGGGATTGTAGGGCCTGGGAAAAGGGGAAATGCAATCCCCCCCAGTCAAAAGCATTTCGAGGAAACTCCAAAGTGCTGACTTCCTTAACTTGGCCCCTACCCCAGAACTGGGTTCTGGCTAAGGGCCATCTTTTAAGTTGGCATAGCAGCTATTCAGTGTGTATACAAAAACACATGCATACAGCTATTTTCTTTTCCCAGCATGGTAATTTAAGACATATGCTAACCGATTCCTGCTCACGAACTGTGCATCCTCCTGGCCAAGTAAGTTACTTCACGGAAACCCCAGCAAGACCACCCTACAAGACAGAGAATGTTTCTACACACAACACTCCAGCCTTTGTGCTCCGCAATCTGTGCAGCCCTATGCCCTCCAAGAAACTAGGCTGCCAGCTTAGGGAGTTACCTGCAGGCGCACGGCTTGGGCTGGCTTCTCTTGGGCTCTGCTTTGCTGATAGGCCTTTCCTGCAACCTTGCGTGTGGGGCGGCGTGGGTCAAAGCGAGAGATGGGTGTCTGGTGGGCCAAAAGACTATTTTGCGCCATGTGCCACCTTGAGCTACGACACCAAAATCGACTCTGGTCAGATGGCATAACACGCAGTCCCCATTCGCGTCGACGGCATGAGCCTAGACATGGAACTCCGATGCCAGGGTTTGCGGAGTGGACCTGATATATAACAAATAGTATATAATAAGTGGAGAAGCTCAAAGAAGCTATGCGCCTGGGACAGCTCTGTATACCCTCAAAGCTCCTAGGCCTAGGCTTGGAAGCCTCCTCGGGTAGACTGCGCCAGCTGCCGGAACGCCATCTTGGCATCCCCTTAACTCCACAAGGATGAAGGGCTTCTCGCAATTCAGGACATGGGGTTAAGGCTTGAGGGTGTTGAGCGAGTGAGAAGCATTTTTGGGCCACAATTTGTTCACTGGCAGAAAGCTGGATAGGCTGTCGGGTTTCCATGTCGACCACACGGGGCCTTGACTTTGAAGGTTTCCGGGCTTAGAAGATCGGGGTAAGACTGCCAAGGCAAGGGTTCGGGCTTAGGAGGCCATGAACAAACTGTCGTGTACAAGAGGACCCAAGACATGCAATAGCTTCAGGAGCAAAGTACACGGCCTTCAACTGACATCGTCCATGGCCTCGGGGCACCGCTACGGAGCCTGAGCAAGCTGAATAAGGCATATACTCAAACAACACATATACGATAATTCCACTGGTTCAGGGTCCCAAGGGTCAGGCAGGAGTTTGTCCATCAGCAGCGTAGTGTACGATTGCATGACTTACATGGAAACACAGACCCAAAGCCCGATGGAAAACAGTGAAAAGCATCCAACCAGGAAGTTCTCATCATCGGAACAAAAAACATAAACCTCACATGCGCTTACAACAACCAGCTCAAAACGCCAAGAAATCCCAAACCCATGAAAATCCTGGACCTTCAGCACTTAGTGCCTGGTGGGGATGCTCAGCCCCCCACTGGCGATTCGGCGAAAAAGCAAGGTGTGAAAGGTCTCTGCAGAGTGGCTAGTAACCGCTTGGGCTGAAGGTCTCTGAAAGGGGCGTCGGGCCTGAGCTTGAAGGCCCTGCCCCATCGAGGCAAGATGAATTTGGGCTTCTTGGGTTCAAGGGCTCGTGGCGTGTAAACCCACAACTCCCCCAGCTAAACCCATGCCGGGGTTTCAAATCTCTTCTTCACTTGAGGTGATGTTGCCGCGCCGCAAGAAAAAAAAGCAAGGCTTGCAACCAGAAGCTCGGATCTGTCTTTGTTGGGCTTCTCGGGTGTGGGAGTTGAGGACTTCAGGGGCCTCTCGGGACTTTATGGGTTTGAGCGTATCGAAACGGGGGGTCCCCAAAACGTCTAACCGAGTCTACAACTTCTGTCACCTGGAACACAATAAAGATGCTCTCCTTAGGGTCTCCTTTCTCGAGCTTTGAGTTTCTGCAAACTGAAAGACAGCACGGCTTTTGCTTGGAAAGCCAGCAACATCATTCGCTTGGATATCCAGGCTGATGAAACCAGGCCTCAGGCCCTTTGAGCGACACAAGCACAACAAAAAAAAAACTTGCAAGCTAAACGTTTGCAGACGAACAACAGCATTAAGGTTTGAAGTATGCTACTGAAGACATCCATGGGACTTGGAAACTATTGTAAACTGGCGACGGACGCAATCCTGCAACACCTTATAAACATATTGAAATTCTGAAATTCTAGAAATATATACACAGGCACACAAAGATACATACGCATTTGGAGTTCGGGGCGTACCAAACTACGAGAACTGCTCCACTGACTCTTACGGATAATGCAGAATGCTGGCCGTCAACAACACTGTAGGACCATTTTTTGCAAGTCGCATGGTGAGACGTCCGTTGCACCCTGCCGAGCAGCTTCGCTTTAACTTGACCTGCTTGCCGTCGGCTTGGCTTTTCGGATTTTAAGCTCCGGGGTTTAGGAGTTTAGGGTTTAGCGCCCAGTGGGATTTATTTCTCCGGTAATACAGTGCACGTTCAGTTAGGGATTTTTTTGCACAGCATTCGTGCTCACCTCATGTTTAGTCCCGAAGCAGGGGGCAGACAACTGGGAACGAATAAACTGCGCTTGAAAGCTCCGTGAGATGCTTCATTCACACACTCAAGAACATGTATTGCTGACCTGTAAACTTCAGCAGGCTTCTTGCAGGTCGCTTACAGAACATGGGGCTTTGCAACCGGGGTTAGAAAAAGGTTACCGTCGCAAAAAAAAAAAAGCAGGACCCAGTTCAGCTGCTTGTTGAAGCGCATCATTGTTTCAGAATCCCGAAGCCTTCAAATTGAACTGACAGCCACTCGATGCGGCCCCTCAAAGGTCTCGCCTTGAGCTTGCTGCTGCAAGGCTTGCTACTTTGGTGTTCAGTTTCTGGGGTTCGAATGATTAAATAGTAGGGCTTGAGGTGCCCAATACTCTCCCTCCCGATCTCTCTAGCATATATATATATATATATATACACACACACAGACGTATATGTATGTTCTATAATCTAAATCTAAATAAATAATGTACGCAATATATATATATATATATGAATGTACGTATATATATATATATACACACACACTCAGCTTAAAGGATATATATATATATATATGTATATGTGTATACAAATTAACGCAATGATTGAACTCAGCTTAAAGGATATATATATATATATGTATATGTGTATACAAATTAACGCAATGATTGAACATATATATCTATATATATACGCACCACACTCAGCCTGGTTCTGGCCGGCCCCCTAGACCTTCGGGTTTGCAAGCTTTTGGATCGACTCCTCGGTGCAGGGTGCTATTACAGCGTCCCGCATCTTAGCCTTCGGTGCTTTTGCCTAAAGGGACTGGGGTTCAGGGTTTGGGTTGAGAGTTCACAGTTTAGGGTTTAGGGGGACCCCTTAGACAAGTTTGGTCCTGATGTTGCTATCTTGGACACCGTCTGGTCGCTAGGATGCAGAAAACCGACGAGCCTTCGCATTCCACATCTGCGAAAGAGGTGTTGGCGGTGCGAAGTTAAGGGCATTGAGCTTGGACTTTCGAGAATGTGAATGGATCTAGGGCTAACCCCTTGGCACCTGGTCTCAACAGCACCATCCTCCTGGCATCCCCTCCTCTCTATCAGACTCCTTGCAGTCTGTATTGAACTTGTGGAATATAACATACCCCCCTACCCCTGTTTTTCCTTGTTGAAGGCCACGTATTATTTTCTTTCAGGAGATGTTGCGACCCCCCACCCCCACCACCCCGGTCCCGGGGCACCTCAGAGATCTTGCGGTAGCAGCCCGGGAGCTGACACCTCAACTTACGGGTGCTGAAGACCCTAAAAACCCAAAAAGGAAAGAGTGGAGGAACGAACGTAAGGACGACACTCAGGGACTATGTGCAGAGACTGTTGTAGGGATCCGCTCTCCCACGCGGTGAGAGGGCTTGCTTCGTGGCGGGATATTTTTAATTAGGGCCTAGGGTTGTAGGGTAGCTTTGCCGAATTATGGTGTATGATTATGCCGAGGCCTTTAGGCTGCAACATTGAGGGTTTAGGGGTTTTGCCAACCCTTGTGGTAATCCTTCTAGCAGATTCTAGCAACCTTAATTCGGTTCGGCTTCAGGGTCTTCGGGCCTAGGGCTCGGGTTAGGGTTCGGATAGCTAGGGTTCCAAAAAAAGTTGCGACCCTGTGCACAACCACCAGAACCCGTGTACTTTTTGTCAAATAAGGGCCCCTTGAGAATGTTTTGTATGAGGGAATGTATGTATCCGTATATATGTATACACATATATATATATATATATATGATGTATATATATATATACACACATACATACATAACAATAGATTCTAATTGTGCCCTTCAAACAAAGTGAGGTTATGGCAGCAAAGACGTATTCTGGGGGGGCCTGAATACCTGAAACCTGGTTTTGGGGGCATAGCAACTACAGTATGATTGTATATGGAACCCCAAGGATCAGTATCACTCATTGCTAAGAAGTACCCGCGGCCCTAAACTAGAGAATTGTAAGTCCTGAAACCACGACATTCGGTATGAGCTTTCAATACTCGGTTGTTGGATGAACATGCTGGCTTGCTCCCCACCGTTCCTGTTTGGAATACATAAGTCGAGCTTTCACGGAACTTCGAAGTGGAGGTGGTTCTATGCCGTAAGCCCCACTGGAAGTAGCTTCAGGAAGGGGGCTTGCCTGCAAGATTCAACCGTCACATACCGGTTTATGGGCTGCAACTGTGCACAGTAGCCTTTAGACCTTGCACACACATTCTCGATGTTTGCTACCTGAACCCTAACCTCTTTCTGAATCTTGTACCAAAAAAGAGAGGGGCTGCACGAGGTTCTTATTACAATATCAGCCCTCACACGGCTTGAATTATAGGAGGCTTGCGGAACAGTGCGCTATGGTAGGTCAAGGTAATCTGTACCTGCAAGCAACGCCCAGACAATCACGTCCCACGACCAAAAACAAGAGCAACCACGTGCTGCGTGCCTGCTGCTCTCGATTTAGGATGAAGGGTTTAGAGCTTCTGGTCCGCAACCCTACCTCTCGACTATTTTCAAGGATATCACCTACAAGAAGCGGTCACAGCCTGCCGTTTCGTGGGGAACAATAGCCGAGGCACATGAGAGCGGTGCCCAGCGGAGGTGGCCTGGAAAGAGTCAGAGGGATCTGAGCACATAGGAGGTCATGGGTTCAGGGATTAGGCTGAAAGGCCGAAGCTTCAGGTTGTAAGTCCGGTCGTGCGATGACCAGGGTCTACGGTTCAGCTGAGGGTTTCTAGACATGGCTTTGGCTCATGGTTTCAAATGCTTGTCTTTTTTCTCCCGGCTTCTGCGAAATTACAGACTCAGAGAGTCAAAGCGAAGGGTCTCCAATGTCGGTGCAGTAGCTCGCTCAACACAGGGGCACCGACATGAAGGGACCCCTACTTTTCGAAACCAGTGTTAGAATGTCATGGGAACCCCTCAACAGCTCTGCAAAATCCCACAAGCCCAACAACCTTTGATCTGAAGTACTGCAAAGCAGTCCGGCTTCGGGCTGAGGCCCCTACCGAAATCTCCTCCGAAAACACGAAAACACAAAATACCAAGGACCAACACCCACAAGACTGCAAACCCTGAAGCTCAAACTGAAACTCAAACAGCTGAATTCGATTAACGGTAAAAACCAGTCCGCAAAACTTCAATTCCGAAAGCTCTACAAAACGCTAGAAAATCCGCCGAACACATATGAAACCCAAAAGCCCTCGAGCGTCTCTGCGGGGTTGTCTGACCTCGGGGTCGCAGTTGCTGGGAGACTTCACCAGCAACCTCGGCAGTATTTAGGGTGTAGGGTTTGAGGGGGCTTGCAACTTTTGGGTACTGTGGGTATCTAATCGTACATGTCTTCAGGGACGATAATACGGAATTACTGGTAATATCGAGGCCCTGGCACTTGCACTTGCAGGACACAAGAGGGTAGAGATTGGAATTTTGGCCTTTCGGGTGTTAAGGTTGAAGCTTAGGGCCTATGAAGATTTAGGGTGCTCGGAGCTAGGGCGAAACGTGAACTATAATATCTTCTTGATATCACCGCAATGGAAATCATTTCTTTGCGTGCACATATCGCTGCTAGAAGCGTTGGCCATCGTTTCCGGGTTGTCCATATCGTTTATACCAACCCAGCCACGCCAACACCAGATAGTCCAAACCACTGTTTATCAGCTTTCGACCCAAAGATAGGTATTGTTTTGACCCTTCCTGCGGGAATATCTTATATGAGGAACCCCATGAATATAATAAGGCCTTCATTAGAGAATAAGGTACGGCTTCCATGATAAATTTGGAGGCTTGGAAACACCCTGCATCCACCAAACCTATTCCTTCGGCTGATGGACAAAATCCTCGTGGACCCCCGGCAGCTAAACCCCGGTCAGTTCAAGGCTCAAAGATCCAGATTACAGTCTCGATTGTGCTTCAAGAAGAGGTTACCAATCAGGGGTCTTTCACAGGAGCCTGAATAACCAGAATACGGTTTTGGTGTATATTGCAGTATTAATATACCAGAACTCTACGGGATACAATTACAAATTAATCAAGATATAAATTGTAAAACTATAATGTAGCAATGACTTTTGAACATGTAGTATGGTACAACACATACAACATAATACTGACACTATATCTACATTGTAGTATAACTATCCCAAACCCTTGTTAAGGCCCCTGTTTCCTTATTGGCCCGCTGCACTGGGCTGAGGGGCTTGTCTTTGGCGCTCTGGGAAGTGGTCAGCAGATGCTGCAAGCGGCCAACCTGACGGGAGCCAATCTTCAAGAACAGAGACCCGAAGCTAAGTTCTGGTTGTACAGGACGCAGATTGGGATGTTTCACGTCAGGCTTGAGAAACCTTCTGTGGGATAGCCTCAACTTGCTAGTGGTGCCTGTCCACTGCACTCCTGAACCACCAATATACAAATTCGGAACCCACAGCTTGGGCGTCGGTTTTCAAGATTCAGGGCGCCGTCTACCTCGAAGATGTACATCCTAGACACCTGGATCAACATGATCTCCTCACGTTGCTCATCGCACATGCTTTGCAGGCTTGCTCCTGGTTCAAAGAATGGCTATCATGGGGAGGTGCAGGTCCAAACCGGCATCAGTTTCGGGGTTGACGTGCTTAGGATGCAACCTTTGGGGTGGAATTGGGGCCCGCTGCAGTGCGGATTCCACACAAACATACACCCTTTGGAATTTGGAACCTTATCGTTCGAAACCAAAGGCGGGCCAAGGCCATGTTGGGGCACTTTAGCTCCAGAGCCTTTCGAGCCCCCGCACCGGATTCATGTCCGAGGTGGGGTCAAACAGGGTCTTTGTTTTGAGGAGTTTAGGGGGAGGGCTTAGGGTTTACATAGAGCCTATGTTTTACGCTCAGGAATTCGTGCTTCGAGCTGGGGTTTGCAAATCACGGCCGGGTTGTGGGCGGGGACACATTATCACGGTGACTGTTGCTCAGCCTCCTGTGGGCACTGCCAAAGTTACTTTGCTGTCACGACTACCCATGCTCCTGACACGTTTGTATGCAACTGAATGATGTTGCTGAACAGACTGTTGACCATGACGATCACACTGGCCACAATGATTGGTAACATTGGAATTCTTCCTTGTTCGACTGCATAGGGTTTGGATTATTGCGTAATGTCAGCGTTGCAGAGCGGCACTGCCAACTAAAAGCTTTTAGATGCAAACCTCAGCTGCTGTTCAGGAGGCTCAACATGTCATTATTGAAAGCACCGAAGTCGCAAACAGCGACAGCCAGCAGCTGCTGTTCAGCTTCTGCATAGGTGCGCTTGGGATCGTCGTCAACCAACCACAGCATCTTCAGCTGCCAGACAAGTCTTTCCCTGTCTTGGTCGGTGACCTCACGGTCGATCAGCAGCTCGACCGTTAGGGACACCCACTTCTGACACTGAGGCTTGCTCAGCGAGCGTATTATCTTCTCAAGTATTCTCGTGCAAGAACATACGTGTTTCAACATGGCGCGTATGTTGGACCTGACCAACTCTTCCATGCGTGCGAGCATACCCTCTGCAATCATTTGCGCCACGAAAGGGAGGGCATCACTCGCGTGATTGTGCGCAATGCAGTGGGCGGCAGCAGCAATGGAGGAATCTGCACTCCAGCAGTGTCGCAGCACACATTGCAGGTTCTTGCCGACCGTGCGGCGAACATAGCTTTCGCTGAAGTGCGTAAAGGTCTTGGACGCCAGGGCCAGGCACCACAATCGACACTCACACAGCTTCTGCTGCTCGGCATCGCCTTCAAAGGCTGACTCATTTGACACATTCGGGTTGACACCGAATAGCTCTAACTGTTCTGCGAAAGCGAGAATTGCAGCTGGCCCGTCCATGCTGCCCATCTCGGCCAGGTGTGCTGTCAAGGCCTCCGGGCTTCTCGTTCGTCGCGAAACCAGGCGCCAGCTCAGCAAGTCCTGCACGCCCAGGTACGGCAACAGGTTTGCCACATGGAGGTCGGAGGGGGTGCATTCCCCAGCGCCGACGAGGTCACCGTCTTTGAGCTCCGTGGGCAACCGTCGGCCCTCGATGCCAAGGGGCTGAGCGGCATCCTTGGGCTCGGCCAAGGCCTGCCCATCACCACGTGGCCGCTGTGCTCCTTCGTCTTGGGCATCCGACGCGGATGCGGGCGACTCATCGCCTCTCCCGCCCTGTGGGTCGCTGTCGAAACCTTCGCTGATCCGAACTTCCTTTGGCGGCTCCTTGGATGGAGCTTCCTGGCACTCTGCAGCGACACTCTCAGGCACCTCGCAGCTATCACTGCGCGGGGGGCAAATCGACAGGTCTGGGCCTAGCCACATCGCAGCAGGAGTTGAAGGTGCCACGGTGTCCTCTGACACGGGAGAGCCGGCGCCCTCCGTTGCCACGGTCTCCTCCGATGCGTCATGGACCAGTATCCACTCAGCATCAAGGCTTTCTTCGCTGTCGCTGCCAGGGCTCCGAGTGTCGGTGCTTTCCATGTCGCAGTCAGGCTTCAAGAGCTTGTTCACAAGATTCGAGAACAGCTTCTGGTCCTCGAGCCGCTGCTGTTGCAGACCGAGGATCAGGTTCTGCTGCAGACAAAGCTGTTGATTGGCCTGTGCCAACTGTGTGCAGACTGCGTTCAGCTGGTGCCAGAGCAGGGCGACTTGGACGTCCTGCTGCAGGTACCACACGGGGCCCTCGCTGGGCCATGCTGGTCTGTCAACCATGGCTCGGCTACAGGAGCAGATTTCTCAATGTCTTGGGCCTGTCAACTAAGCCCACCCTAGGAATTCGGCATTTGTTGGTTTGAGGGGGAGTCTTTACTCATTATGGATCGGACCTTGTCGGTAGTTCAGTCTCCAAGCCCATAGAAAACGTGCTGTACCCTCAGAGCCCTAAACCGTCTCTCACTCTTTCCCTCCCACTTGCCGCCTCTTCCGTGAGGACGGAGGAAATGGCCCCCTGCGTGTGGCCAAGGCCTCGTGTAAAAAAACAGCAGCAAACACAATAATCATAGTAACCATGAGGATGATCACAACCGTGATAAAGATAATCACAACAAGAACAACAGTACTGTTACAATGAGAATAACAAGAAGCTGAATAGTAAGAATAGCAATGATAGTAACATATACACAGTAAGAATAGCAATAAACGAAACAGTTGTCTACGTTGGAGTGCCAACTGCCCAGCGGCAGCCGGCGGGTTTCAATCCAGACGGATCCCGACGACGACAATGATGCCGTCCATGATGAAGACAATGCTGATGCTCATGGTCAAGCCGGAGGGACGACATCGACGGTGCAAAGACTTGATCCTGGCCATGATTGCGATATGGTGCAGAGTCAGAAATTGATCCACCCTAGCTAACCTGTTTCGGGTGCAAAGCGGCACCCAAAAGATGCTGACAACTGCTTGGTACCGATCGCTTGAGCTTGTGTTGTGGTGTCGTGCTCAGAAGTGAGATTTTGCCGGATGGAGTCTTGCTTGGCTCGTTTTGGGTTCGGCCTTCCGAGAGCAAACGGGCAAGCTGGAGCGCCTTATCTGTAGAAGGGGGTTAGTAGCTGGTAAACAACTAACCAACCAGCCGGTGTGTCTCTAGAATCTTGAATCCTATCGAACCATCTGTCAGAACAGCTTGGTGTCTGCAAAATACTACAAATCCATGGGAACAACCAAACATGCAAAAAGATCACCAAGCCAGGGCTCTACACACCAAACTCAAAAAACCTGAGCTCGTCACCGTCCAAATTCCAGAGGCTTGCCCATTCAGAGGACACCTGCAACGGGGTTGCAAGATCTCCTATATGTTTGAACGGCTCTATAAGGGTTCTAGGCTTTAGTGATCAAGTCTTCGGAGCCCGTAACCCAAGACGAGAGCATGAAAGCCCGGGGCATAAATCCTTGAGCTGCACGTTCGGTCTTCACCACGAACCTACAGTGTATTCTGAAGCCAAACAGAACAGTGTGCAAGACAACAGATGTGGCTCGAAACTTAAGCTTAAAGCAGTTTAGGGTTGAGGTTTAAAGGCTATAAGCTCGAAATCCCTGAAATTTGTCAAGACGTGTGACACCTGAACAACATCACAGAGGAGAACAGTCAGCTTTGAAGAAACGAACGAGTCCGACGAACGTGCCCCATACGGCACATACGGTAGATCGCCCACTGTCCGGAAACATTCAGAAGCCGTACGCATGAACTGAGTAGCAAAGATTCAACACGGCGTCTGTAATACATGTACTAACATTGACTTCACACCCCCCATACCAGACTTGCTCAAAATCGTTTGCACAGTTCCAAACTCGACAGCTGCCGACTCGGGATTGCACCAAGTGATCGAGATCAGCCAGCGCCCCTTGCGCGTCCTGTGGCGCAGGCTCGGATTCTAACTCTCCCGGAACTCCAACAGCACGTGAACCACGCGATCTAGGAATCCCAGATTGGCCTCCGCTTACCGAGCTTGTGTGTAGGGTCGAGGGAATATCCACTAGGATGGCCAAAGCTTGAGTGATCATGGGTTCAGAACGGCATTCAAGACCCCTGCGCAGCCTCAAACTTAAATCCTCATCCCCAAGCCTTACCGCCTCAAGCTTCGCCCTAAACTCGGAAAGCCGCGAAACCCTACAACCAGCACATCACAAACTATTCGGGAACCCTACTAGAACCCTATACGTACCCCTTATAGGGATCCCAAAAAGCCCCTGCTGTTCGCCCTAAACCCAAAGCAAACCTCCCAGGCCGGCCTGCATCGTCTGCTGGATCCTGCTCAACTCGACCTTCCTGAGCTTCGGGCAGATCAGCTCTGGGCTTTTGTTCAAGGCTCGTTGTAGTGTTCCTTTTAGGGTTTTCTTGAAACGGTGCTTCATGGAAGTTTACCAGGGTTGAGGATTCGATGTAAGGGTCTGCACACTTACGTATTGAAAGTTTTTCTCGAGTCCCGACATAAGCATACTCTGATATCATGTACACCAGAAGCCCTGGATATGGAGGCTTCTAGGACCTGGGTTTCCGTCCGAGGGTGTAGGGTTTGTTGCCGACTTTGGGTCTATGGAATGCGGGATTTGGACGGCGAATACTTGAGGTCTGTGCAAGGCAGTGTGAGCCACTGATGAACCTCGAAGAAAAACCTTCTTAAGTCTAAACGTCGTGAACCTTAAACACTAACCCAAATTCAACCCCAGACATCCTTTGAGGGCCCAGCAAGCCCGCGCACTGCGAGCTGCCGCTTTCGAGGCTTGCAGCCTCACCTGGGGATGAGGAGGCTACAGGCTCGGAGTTCGGATTGAGTGTACGGGGCTTAAGATACAGAACAGGGCTTCTGGTGTTACCTTAAGGAATAGAACTATAAGATAGGTGGAGATTTGCTTCTTTCCTCTTTTTGGGACAGTTTCCTTTTTGGTCTGGACGGGGTGTGAGGGCATGCTGCGCCGGGGTTGGGGGAGGGGGGGCGCATAGGCAATCGAAGTCTACAGTCCCATCAGCCTGTTCATGCACGTCGCTTGACTAGACAGCTCCCAGAACCAACCAAAACTCAAAAGACTCCTTGCATCCCACCCAGGGATCAAGCGGCTTAATACGCTGGATTACCTGCCACAAGTCTTTACGTACATCTGGACTTCGAAGCGGTAAACAAGTGGAAAACCGCACTTTAGCCGGCGCAACATAAAATATTACATGAAGCTAGATTGGATGAGCTTAGGTTAGATTAGATTTAGAATAGTCATAATATACTAGTTCATACTCTTTGTACTGCGTTATTTCAGGTTTCTATTTGGGATATCCATGATATCTTAATATCCCTAGTTCATATTGATTCATATTCTTCTGTACTGATTCTATCTAATGCTGAAATGTGGGATAATAATGACTTCTCGGCTAGGAATACTATATGAGTCGATGAATGTTTGTTGATGCTGTATTAACTTATTTTGCTATGATGTTAAAGGACAGCACATCATGTCCATGTATTTCTGTTATATATTGATATCCTATTGTATTTTATTGCGTTGTAGCATAGCATACTGTAGTCTTTATGCTATACAAGTACATCATATCATACTGCAGATTTTAGGGCTCTTGGGCTTGGGGCCCTTAACATTGGGTTTAAGAGTCTAGTGCGTAGGGAGCTCAGAAGGAAAAGCTTTGGAGGCTCCTCCTGGAAAGCCTGAAACACAACACTTTACTTCACCTCAGAGTTCCTTTTCGCTAGGTTAAGGCTCGGGTTCAGGGTTCAGTCAAACTGTCGTTTGAGGCTTTGGATTTGGGGCTTAGGGCTAAGAGTTCACAATCTCGACAACTAACAACAAAAACCTCTTCAAGTCCGACACCTGAAAGTTCCCCAACACCCACAGGCTCCTCTGCTGACAAGAACCCTAATCCCAAACTGCAACACTTCTCCAAGCCTAAGCCCTAAACCCTCCTAACCCGGACCCTGAACCACACCCAAGATAAAGGACCCTAACATAAACCCTTCGGCATGCTGGGATTCTGAACATAGCGACCTCCTACAAGAGATCAATCGTTTTGGAAACCCTAAAGGCTAAAGTCCTCTTCCCAACCCTAAGCTTCCCTAAACTCCAGACCTTAAACCCAAAACCACAAAAACACCGAACCCCACATCCGAAGACCCTAAATTGCCTGCAAAATTGAAGAGGAACCCCTTAACAGAACCCAGCCTTGGGCGGGTCTCTCTGCGGCGACGGACGGGGAAGCCAGGACAGAGAAGACCCACACCACAAGGAGCCTAAGGTTTTAGGCTGTAGAGTTCAAGGGTTTGGGGCTTTAGGGCTTCAGGGCTTTAGGGTTTCAAATGACCATAAAGAGGTTTTGGATCAGGCTTTCATTAGGACTCAAGGTCCAGGGCGCTTTAAACAGGGCCGCCTTCAACAGCTTGATAAGGGTTTGCATTTGGGCCAAGGGGGGATTTTGTAAGGCTGTGTATATCATGGTTCGAAGGGTTCTTCTAAGGATTTGGGGTTCTCTTTTTTGCGGCGGCATTTGTAAGGGTTTGTTTATCAAGGCTTGGGGTTTAGGGTTTGAGAGCGTTCTGCAGGGCCTTATACAGCATTCACAAGTGTCTACGGTTAAGGAATTCTGTATAGGGCTTGAGAGGGGTTGCAGGGCTTTGTAAGCGGCTGAAATTCAGGACTTCAGGTCATGTTTAATATCAGCGTTTCGGGTGTGAGGTTGACAGTGTAACTCCGTGAACACCCCATGAAATCATGAAACCCTGAAAACCCAACAAGGCGCTTGAAAACCTGATGAAGCCGAATCAAGGGAAGGACATCCGCCATCAAGACCCGGACTCAATTTCTGGATAAATCCAAACTGGTCCATCGTGCCCAGGCGCATGCTGGCATCTCTACATGGAGCAGCCCCCAGGCGGCCCCAGATCTGAGAATGAATGCGCATGTTGGGGCTTTTCTTTGCTTTAGTAGATGGGGCTCGATATACCAGGGGTATTAAAGCGGCTTCAAGACTTCTAAAAAGAGATTCGCAAGGGTTTCTGCAAAGGTCTCTTAGTCCTACGGGGCTACTATGATGGCTTCTATGAAGGTTCCCGTAAAGACTTCCGGGTTTCCCCAAGGCCATTCTCAACGACGCTCCAGTATCTAAGCGTGAAGAAGAACCGAGCAAGTAATGTCTGTCCCTTCCCGAAATAGCGTGGACATCTTTGGATTTTTCATGGGTAACCGGGGGATCAGGGACCTAGTAAGCATTGAGCGGGGTTTGAGAATCATCGAATCTTTTTGAGTCTGGCACCCAAGCTCTCAAGCCAGCACGGCCTGAACAACTTCTGTACTACAGCACCTACGCATGGGACACGTCTCTTGATTCCAAACGACGCGGCAGGAAAATGAGACCCAGAAGCGTCAAATCCAAATTTACCTGAGCCTACTTCATACACCCTGAGCCAGAAAACATTGGATTCTTCCCCCAAACCCCCAAACCTCCAATTCCCAAGTTGGCCTCGATCGAGGAGCAATAGTTAGGTATGTACCAGGCGACAGGAAATCTGATCGGAGCCCAAAGCAACGGTAGACGTTGGAGTCCGCAGACTACGGCGCAAGAGAACCACTGCAGAAATAGACACCCTAAACCCAAAGCCCTAAATGGCCACACCCTAAGCTCTGAACCTTAGGATCAATAATGTACACGCCTTATTGTAGATCCGTTGTCAATAGCCCTTCAATTAAGACGGGATGATTCTAAGGAAAACGAGTTTAGTAATCAGGCGTCTAGATTGCACTGTCATGCAGGCTAGCGGCTAGCCTGATCTACGCAATACGTGCCTGTTCGATTTGGTGTTGCTGCAGTCTTTGAGCTTTGGGGTGGCTTTCAGAAAACAAGGGACTCTGATATGGTCCCCGAGTAATGGGATTCACTATGAAGGACCCCTCAACATAGGATTCTAACTACAAGAGCCCCGATAAAGTAATCCAGGGACTTGGTTCAGAGACCCCTTGGAAGTGAATATGGATCCTAGTCTCGTGGTAATTCAGAGCCAGAAATGCATCATCTGCCTCCTGCATTATCAAACACCAAGTAGAACAGACAGCAGCGGAACATTCCCGAACAAGGACGCGCGCAAAGTATGCGTAATATAGGGGTCTGAGCCCTTCCCGACTCAGTGGCTCCAGGGCGCGAGGAGACGCCGGTGCTCCAACGTTATGAATTCCACCACACCGACGGGAACACCCTAAGCCCCCCACCCGCTACAGTGAACCCCAGAAAGTCGGGACACGGATTTAGGACGATTAATGCTGGAATTCTCTATGTTTTACCTTAAGGGCATCAGGATAATGATGGGGGTCAGGATCCTGAACCCTAAACCTCAAACCTCGACAAAGCCCGTCGCGACCTAATAATATAGTCGCCTTAACAAGTGACAAAGATGTTGGTGTGGATTCTTTTTTCATTTTATAGGGACACTAAGGGTACACTCACACACATGGTTCCAACTAATGTACTGTATGACAAGGGTGCGCCTTTTTTGCCTCCCGCAGACGCCCCTCATCAGGTCGCCAGTCGATCCCTACACCCCAAAGACCCAAAGAAGCCGGTTTAGGGTTATTTTGTTTTGGGTTTGGAGTTTAGGGTTCATGGTTTAGGGGAATAGACGTCAGATCCTGAAAGACCTCCGCAAAACAAGACACCGACCTACCCTTCAAGCACCCTGATCATAACCTTAGTTCCTCAACCCTGCACAACCCTACCTTAAATCGTTTACAGAGCATACACATTAACCTCTAGCTGTAAGCCCGAGGAACATGGCTAGGCACGTCGAGCTCAAGCGCGAGGTCTCGCGATCGCGGGCCCGGGAAGAGGAAGCCCGAATCTCGTAAGAACACAACCTTTAAGTTTGGGGATAGGGGTTTCGGCATGCTTGGTTTAGAAGCGCCTCAGTGTCTTGTAAAGACTTCTATCTATAGGGTATGATTTCAAAACTTCGGCTATCAAAGGGTTATTTGAGGCGTGGGTATCTTGGTCACAATACCCTACGAAAATGTAGGTTACGCAACCGTCAAAGGCTGCAGCCTGGCTTAGCGAATGATTCTCACAGAACATACCCCTCCAAATCCTATAGTAGTCATTACTATCGCAATCCATCGCACACTATACCCTGAGAGTCATTACAGCAGCCAGCCCGAAACTCTAGCTTCGGTCATTATAGTGCAACGAACCCGACGCCCTAAATCCTAAAACCTAGACTCCCTGGACCCTACCTGAACCCTGACTAACCTACTTTTTTAGGGCTCCTTAGTATGATCATCATGATGATTTCCTTCTACCTTATAAAAGGTGTAAAAAGAGGTAGGTTCTTTGGGGTTGAGATACTCAGTTGAGCGTGATGCTGCTGCAGCGGCGAAGCTTCGAAGCTCTAAAGTGTCCATCGCTCGGGGCTGGGACCTCCGTCGTGCGCCAGAAGCGGCACATAGGCATCAAAGATTTTAACAAAAACCTGCAAAACTCTGGAAGCCTAAAGCCCTGAACCCTAAGCCCTAAAACCCTAAAGCCCGAAAGCCTTAACGTCCCAAAACCCCAAAACATCCTAAAACCCTAAAATCTCAGACCTGATGGACCTGAAAGTCCTAAGCCCGAAACCCTCATTACCGGAGATAGCCTGGGATCCTGGGTCTATCATCCCGTGGGGCTTTGGCTCTTGGGGCGTAGGGTTATGAGTGCCTTAAGATTTTTAGAAGTTTTTTGGGTTTAGGGATTGTAAGGCTTTTGGGGTTGGCTTTGTGGGGTTGGGGCCTCGACTTACAGCTTTCCTTTGGCTTGAGAGGCATTGTTTCTGTGGGCTTGCGGCTGTGAGTTTCGTCATGAATGCTACGGTTTAGGATTTGGGATGCTAAAGAAGAAGGGTACGAGTTAACAAGTCCAGAGTTTTTGATGGTCTAAAGGGAGCAGCTCCAACGCAGTCAATATGGGCGTGAGCACCTGATGAAGACTGCGCCAACGTAATCCGGATTCTTGCAGCAAGATGTATGTGAGATTTACTTTGAATACTCTGAGTTCGCCTCCCGACCTCGCAAAAGTACCAGCACTAGTAGTGGCGGTGCTAGAATGGTACGGGCCAGCCTCGGAAGCCCTAAGCACCAAGCAGCAGTCGCGGTCGGCAGCGCAGACAATCATCGGAAGGATCACGGGGTTTGGGGTTTAGGATGGTGAAGGGCTAAGCATCACTTGTCGCCGTCATCACAAGTCAACCCAATAAGACGAAGCGTCCGGCTGAAGACCCTCTAAACCACAGGATAGACCCCAGGATGCATACATACTAAGCCCTCTGGGAAGCCCCTGCAAGCCAAAGCCTCAGAGGAGGTCTCCTTCAGCCGAGCACTCATTACTAATTCATGCAACCATCACCACGGCGCAAGGCCATGATGACGATCCCACCCAGGTCGCAAGGGGTAGGGTTCATCTAGTATATACGTCGTAGTTCAAGATGCCTTTCTTTGTCAATATTATGTAGAATAACAGTACTGGAGTAAGACACACCTGATATTTGAGGTTTGCCTCGCAGGCTTAGGGTAGGAGTTTACAAGCGGGTTTACCCTGCCTCCATAGCCTCCTGGAAGATTCTAATACTAATTATTCAGAGGATTTGCGGCTGACGGTTGTGGAGCTTCGGAGATTGGCAATTGAGGCTTTCCTCTTTCTTACAGTGTTTCAGGAATTTTGACTTCATTCGGGTTCTAGGCTTTTTCAGATTAGGGTTAAGGGTGTGGGGTTAAGCTATGCGGCTGTAGGACTGTAGGATCGACGCTTTACATGTCTATCGGAGGATTCGACCATGACACCCCATGATTCCTCCGTGTAGGATTGCCCTGGCAGCCCACCTAGGGACCTACTAGCAGGGGAAACCTGCAAACACATGAGCAAACACATCAGTTCCCGATGTGAGACCTTCTTGGCATGCCCTTTCCTTCTTCAACCCATGACCCTGAAAGAAAAACACTCTTTGAGGTTAGTATCAGCATGGAGCAGCTAGCATCCAACCGTCCAACGGTACTTCCTTACACAGCTTTCCCGAGCATGGAACAGGCTTCATACCTGACGGTGTTATAGGGTTTGTTGCAGGGTTTCAAACGGCTCCTGATGCTTTGTAGGGCTTCAGTGGCTATTCTGCCTAGGGCTTCTGGGGTTTCATGGGGTTTACACAAGGGTTACAAGGGCCTCATGCAGCTTTTATAGTGGATGCAATCGCAGCCGACCCAGGCGATTTGCGCATCGCGGAATGGCTCTGTTGGCCGCCGGCGAGCTGAATCGCAGAAGGAACTGAAACCCCTTCCAGCATTCATGCAGGGGGCTTGATGTTGAGGGTTTCGGTGTAAACATGTATAGCCTGACCCTGACCTGCTTGTCTGAACCCGAAGTAGCCAAAGCGAAACTTTTTTTGAGGTAGTAGGTATAATTGGTAAGATGGCCTCTGATGTACGCAACTCTGCATGTGTGTGTGTGTATATATATATATATATGCGTTGTCTGTCTGTCTGCCTGCCTGCCTGCCTGCCTGCCTGCCTGTCTCTGTATGCATGCATGCATGTATATTCATCTATGTATGTGCGTATGTATGCGTGTATATGCGTGTATATATATATATATAGACTCAGAGACATCGATTTCTCCTTGTCAATCCGCTACTTAAGCCGGGCAGCACTGCTCATCGTTTGAACCCTAAAGTTTTAAACCCTCAGCCCTAAGCCCTTCTATGTTCGAACCCCTAAACCCTCCTATTTCCTAAACCCTCAGCCCCTGAGCCCTAAACCCTACAACTTTCAGCAACTCCCACTTCGCCGCCATCCCGCCGGGAACGAAGACTCCGATGCTTTAGATGGTGGGCCGCGAATGCCCTGGACCAGGGCTCTGAGCGACTTCGGGTTTGGGGTTTAGCAAAACCCGGATCTCTTTGAGCCCGAATTAGTCTAGAGTAAGGGCTTAGGGTGTTTGAGGGTGCTACGAGGGCATGTTTACAGGTAAGCTTGAAGGGGCTTCGAAAGCACAAACCCTTGTAAGACTTGCATTTGAACGTGTCTGAAGGTCTTATCAAGTCTCCATGGCATGTCGAATCTCCCCAAAAAAGACCGCAGGGACCTCAACAAATAGAGCTTGACTTTGCACCAAACGAGTTTGCTTCGAAATGGGTCAAGTCCGAGTTCCAAACGGGGGCAAAGGGCAACATAGGGCCTTAAAATGGGGAATCGTATGACATAACAAAGAAGTCTAAGTTTCGGGCTGCTGTTGCCATGTCGAATACGTTTATTGATGCGAGCTGACAACTCAAGTAGTCCCAAAATCGCCTGAGCAGCATCGAAATTCGAATCACAACATCACACTCATCCCAAAACCCTAAACACTGAAGGACGCACTGGTCCTATGGACTCTGTTGAAATAGGAGACTAGGGTTGAGGGTTCGGGTTTTTATGACTGGTAAGGCAGTAGGGGTTTCCTGTACTCAGCTGGTTTCGCTGTGTAAGGGCTTTCGGGCACAGGGTCATTGAGTCATGACATGCTTTCGATTCCCTCCAGAACCGGCAATCACGGTACAGAAACAAGTGTACCAGAATTTCCTTCTACAGTTTTGTGGATTCATGGCAGGTTGACTTCGGATTCTTGGTATACCTCGCGAGGCTTGGGGCTACTATGGCTCGAAGATGCATCGCCCTGTGAAGGCTTGTAGAATCCGATACCGCCAAAACCTGAGTCCGAAACCTAGTTCTAACATGTCTAGCAAAAGCCCTAAACGAAGTACGCAAGGGCAAACCTCTGCCCGAAGAGCGGAAACCCAACAATTGAACTCAACCTCTGAAATGCTATCAGCTGACCCGTCCCAGACCTTCATTCCACTTGAAACTCTTGAAGTTGAAACAGATCACTTCGCCGCCTAGGACAGAAAGGCGTCGGGCTCAAGGAAGGTTCAAACACGGCTGATGGAAGTTCACTTTGAAGTGTGCTATTCGAAGTCTACTTACTCGGCTTCTGCGAGGCTTTTAAGCGCGGCTTTGGCAATCTAAATCTAAGCTGCATCTACGGTCAAAATGCTGATGGAGGGTTTGGGGTCCTGTACGTGGGGCCTCGGATCGGCTTATCGAGACCCGTCTAAGCTTCAAACTTGTGGGTTGTGCCCGACTCCAAGACCCTCTACAACGTCCCATGCCTTACACCACGGACGCGCAGCCGGGGCGGAGCGGGGCGGGGGGGGGGGGTAGGTGTAGGGCTTACGGCAACACTGTGGATCGACATGAAACTTTGGATTTTTTTTTGAAACATTGAAACATATTCATGTCCACAACACACGGCGACTCCAGAAGCCCACGGAATACGCAACGCAACCTACCACGGGCTTGGGGATTCATCATGCCGTCATGATGTCCGGGGCATGGGGGATTCCCTCGGGCTCCTATGTACAGAGGTACTTCCTCAAGTTGGGCCTGGCACTGCTCGAGATGCCAGACTCCGGTTTGTGGGTTCAGAGTGTAAGCTCGAGGGTTTCAGGCGCATTGGGGTTCCTTGTCGAGGGTCTCGGCATCACCTCTGAAAAAACAGTTTTGGGCCAAATTTCTGGGACCTTAAGGCTTAAGCCTTAAGTCCGAGCACGAAGCCCAAAACCCCCACAAAATTTGGATTGTAGCGTTTCGATTTTCGCGCTCAGTCAGACAGTTAAACCTCTAGAGCTTAGAGTTTACGACCGTTTTCAGCTGGAAGATTCTCGGCCCCTGAACCCCCCTAACCCCCAACCTGAAACCGAAACCCTAAACCCCCAACTCCAGGGTTTGGGGCTTCGGGCTGGTATGGTTAAGGGATGTTCAGGGCTTCGGGTACCTGGACCCGAGTTGTAGTGTTCTTGGAATAACACGCTTCAAACCCGAAACCTCTTGACCTTACATTAAACGCCCTGGAAAAACCATTAACCTGATTATAAAAACCTTATAGAACTCCTTCCTGAACCCTCACAGAATCCTTGTACTGCCCCATAGAGTAACCTTGTAAGCCCCTGCTCACGCAGCTGTGGACTCCGGCGGGTACGGCTTTGGCAGGCGCCTTTTTCACACCTGAGCTCCGGGCTTCGGCTTCGGGCTCAGAATCATTGGTTGTGGAAATAAGCGCCATAGTAGTAACAGGCGTAATGATAGCAGCAACAGCATACAGTATAGCCACCGCAGGAGGAGGAATAACAGTCATGATACCTGTTTTACCCACTGTGCTCACGTCGCCACACGAGCATCCGGAGCGTCAAAGCATGCTGGAAATCAAAAGCGAAGGAAGGACAGACCAATCAGGAATGATTGAGGAAGTAAGCTCTCTTTCGGAAACTTTGGAGCAACTTTGTCACTGAGACGCTGCACAAAGCACCAAATGGCATGAGGATGGCCGAAGCAGCGCAGGCATGTCAAGCCACAGTTGCTGCCCGACCCACCCCAAGAGTCTTGAAGGTATTAAGCCCAGTGACGGCCTGTGCTTTACAGCCATGCAGTTTGAGAAAGTGCAGCATCACATCTCTGAATCTGCGTACGGCTTTGCCGAGGGAATAACAGTAATGGTATGCAGTTTGAGAAAGAGCAGCATCACATCTCTGAATCTGCGTACGGCTTTGCCGAGGGAATAACAGTAATGATAACAACAATGGTAAGCACGGCAATAATCATGCCAGCGGTATCAATAGTAGCATAGCAAAAAATAACATGAATATACTGTAGTATGAGTGAAAGCAACAAAAAACCTGTGCTAAAGACTAGCAATAACAGCAGTAGCACAGAAAAACAATGGCTAGGGGTATCCCATACTAGACTAGACTATCGTAAATATAACGCAGCATCATGTACCACGCCTGCCCCGGGAGAGGCTGGGCGCATCTTCGGCTGCTTGGCGATCTCAGCGGCAGTGCCTCATACGAATTACGGTTTGTTAGACTTAGACGTAGATCTTTCGAGGGACTTCATAGTCGTGTTTATTCGACTGAGTTTTCGCGTGGAGCTCTTATCGTTTAGGAAAGGGAAGTTGCGGAGCTTGACGCTTGCATGTATACAGTGTTGTCTTGCTCAATCTGGGACAAAAGATTTTGGGCGAAGAGAAGCCGATGTTCCAGGCTTTATCTGCTAATTCTTGCTGTTCTGGCTGAGGCTAGGAAATGAGCTTTGGGACATAGCAGAACCCCAGGCTCAAGGCCCAAGGCCCCAAACAAGCTGAAAACTTCCGGAAGCCAGGACACTCTTTCAGGGCACGTAGCCCCTAATAGCAAGTGATTGAGATTCAGTGTCCAGTAGGTGCAAAGTCTAGGAGCATGTAAGCTTTGTTTTCCTCGCAGCCGAAGGACAAGGATCGCCAGGGTCTCCATAATAAGGAGAGCATGGCACCATAATGTCTTGCAAACCCGCTAGTCGAAGATGCCGCAACTCAATCTTGACAAACCGCTAAAGCCAGATCGGAATGTCGAATGGCCTGCAAAAACTTATGAAAATCCCAACCTCAAAACTTGAAAGCGAAACTCGCAAGCCTCCATCCCTAAATCCGCAACCCTCAAACCTCACGCCAACATGTCGGTTTCGGCCGCCGCTTTTTGCGAACAGCGGAGACTTGGCCCCAGACGCGGACTGGAGGAAGCCGGTTTGGCAGCGGCCTGCACAGGACTTGGTTAAAGTTTAGAATGTAGGCTTTAGGGATTAGGCTTGAGGGTTTAGGGTTTATAGGGTTTGGTCCACTGCTTGGGCTTTAGGCTTTCACGCGTAATTTTTCCAAAACCCTGCTTGGAGGATTGGCGGAGGTGAAGGGCGTAACCCGGATTAAAGCTTAGTAACTTAGGGCCGGGCGTTTGTTCGAGCTTCAGAGAAAAAGTGGACCCCGTGCATTGCTGCCGACCGAAAACCGGGAACCTTCAACCCTGCTTTGGCAGCCCACAGACAGCTATGCTATGAATAAGCCGCGAGCGCAGTCAAACTGTGTGGTGAGCCCCATGTTAATGTACTCAGAACCTGATTTCTACTTGCCCTTGAACCTTGCCCCGCAACTCTACGTACGACAAACAAATGTCGAGCACGAGGTCTTGTAGTTTATGCTGCAAGTGTGAGCTAAGCCTTTTGGGGCAGGGGGGCGGAATATTCCATCATGTGCTTACTACGTGGGCCGCGTTTTGGGGGAGCTAATTCTTCCGGCTCGGCCAGAATAAACAACAGGAAGCTGCGAGTAATTTAAACTAAAATTTAAACCCCCCCTAAAACCCTGAAGCCCTACAGCCTTACACCCTAAAAGCCAACCCTGAAGCCCAGGAAAGACCACAGATCCTGAACTCTTCCTTAAATGCGCAATAGTAACCCTGAATGCGCAAGCCCTAGCCTCGAAATAACCTTGAGCTCTTGGGGCTTTCTTGAACTGTTTCCCACATTGACGGCTCTTACAATATGGATCCTACTAACAATGGTCGATGTAGTATATAAAGTATAAAGTATATGCATGTATGTTGTATATATTATGTGGTATGTAGTTTAGAGTACATAATACACACATAGAGTATATAGCGCACGGTAAATATATACATACATACATACATACATACATACATACATACATACATACATACATACATACATACATACATATATATATATATATAGCTACTTATTTATTTATGCATAGCAGGTACATTCTATGAACTATATGCTGTATACTGCATTTAGGGCGGCCTATATTAGGATCCCTTGTCCTCCGAAACTCTCACTGATATGAGGCCCGTGCAGCGGTCACTGGCGACTTTGGGGCCGTCGCGGCCTGTTTCCCACCCCGCCAATCCGGAGCCCCAAACCCAAAATCTGATAAAGCTTGTAAGGGCTTCCAAGGGCTGTTCTGACTGCTGTCTCTACTAAAGAAGTGGAATGGCATTGCTAAGCCTAGTGGATACGCGCAGGTTGCGATGTGGCCTTATCGGAGCATGCAGTATTAGGGTTTTCCAGCGATAATATCTGCCTGTGCTTCACGTGCCTCGCATGATGTGGTGAGACGCCTTCGCGCCGTTCGGTGAAGGGGCATCGTGCAAGTAGGCTCACCGACCACCGGAAACCTGTACCAAACCTGAAACAGCAGACCCTAAACCCTCCACCCTATCCGCGAACAAGCAATCGTTAACCTCGTCTCCCTCGCCACTGAGCTCCATGGCTCAAAAGAAGCCAAGCTGTGGAACAGTATGGAACCCTGATGAAATCCTTACTAGAAGGGCCCTCCGAGGACCCTGACGCACGTACACACACACACACATGCACACACACACACACACCCACCCACACACACTCCCTAGAAGCTGATACGTTAGCAACTCCGCTACCTTCTACGGCCTCGTGACGGCTTGATACATTCCTATATGGTTTGCGAGCTTAAGTTACATAGTGCATTGCGCTTAAGGCCGTCCTTATGCAGCTATGTATCTACAGTAAGTCTCGTCCGACTGGGGTGCCCGACTGAGCTCGTAGCCGTGGGACCTCAAGAAGGCAGTTCGAGTTCGTTTTGGTTGCGTGTACGGTCTTAGGGCTGAGAGTTGAGAGGTAGGGCTTAAGGTTAGATTCGGGGTAGAGTGTTTCAGGCTTCGGCCAAGGGTTTCCAGGTATAGGTTTCTGCAATTTTGTCCAGGGCGTGACGCGGGCCTGGGGCTTAAGGTGAGAGTGTCTCTTACATCCAAAAAACTCCCCAACCCCGGGTTCCAGCCCCCTCAACCCCTAATCCAGAAGGAGCTGCCTATAGTAGCTTTATTCTATACCATACCATACTATACTATACTGTACTATACTATATGCTACTATACTATGATATACCATGCTGTACTATACTCTACTATGCTCTACTATCCTCTACTCTACTATACCATACTATACATAACACACTGTACTATGATACACTAGACTATACGATGAAGTTGTCTACGAACAAGGGACGGTTAGGGCAAGTTCGCTCCTAGGCCTGGCTATGGAGAGTGCTCTCCCATTGCTTTGGCGCCTGCTCAAGTGATAAGGAAGCTTCGGGTTTGTGGGTTTGGGGCCGAAATTTCAGGTTGCGGGCTTGGGGAATGCATTACGGACAGCCGCCACGACGGTCACCAAGATTACGACGACCACAGGCTTCCCTCCTCCTGCTACAACCACCACGTCGTCAAAGCTCCCATGTTCGCGAAAGATTTAAAAGCCAAACCCGACACTGTCGGTTGCTGAGGCGACTGCTCTTCCTTTGCGGCCTCAAGACACTTTCGGGCTTCGAATCTTCTCCAATTGAAATGTGAGTTTAGGGTTGAGGCCCTGGCGAAGCTCAGGGCTTTAGGCTTTAGAATTTGCGATTTAGGGATTTGGGGGTTTGGGGGTTTGAGGGCTTCATGGCTCAATGACGGCTTAGGAGCTCCGTTGGAGGTGGATCTAGAGCAGGGTCTTGTCTCAGACCCCCAAAAGGCCGAGCATGTCGGCTCAGGGCCGCAGGTTTCGGCCCAATGTGGGCATGACCCGCGCGGGACGGTTTCGATTTTAGGGTGTAGGCCCAGTGTAGGCTTCCAAGCTGCATGGAGTGCCCGAACTGTGTAAACCATAGACGGCACCACTCATCCACAAACCCTGCCAGCCTCCATACAAGAAACATCTGGTCAAGCTACAAAGCTACGACTAAAGAAAGTCCTAAGCTCCACCACGAACCCCGGAAAACCCGACTTGGGCCCTACAACACCTACTTTGCTGAAGGCATGACCCCCTAACAGCCTCAACAGCAAAAAGGCGTCAACCAAAAAGACGGGGCTTCTGTAGGTTTGAAGAAATAGCTCGAGGCGACTGAATACAAAGGATGTAGGCTTCAGAGGTACATGCTTTCGACGTGAGAGAAGATCCCTAAACCCAAAACCCTGGAACTCGGAACCCATGTTCCAGGCTCAAGGACTTGAAAGTCTGGATTCTCGGGGTTCAGCGACTTATTTGCGCCCTAGGATCCACGATGACGCGCTTGGGGCTACTGATGCTAAGAACTAAGAACACAGAACTCGACCAATCCTTCCCGTTCGAGCCAGCGACAAAACGCGTACGTTGCGAGTGGGCCTGGTGGAGAGCTTGCAATCAGCAGCGGCCCATCATTCCCAGCCCGAACCCTGGAGCCTCAAGCAACCCGAAACCTGGTGAACTCCCGGCGCAGGCCCAATACAGACTTTGTGAAACCCTCCAATCCTCACTTCTAAGAGTTTTCTAGGTTTCAGGGCTGAGGCCTTGCGCAGTGTGAGGGGTCTTTCGGGCTCTAGGCCTCTGGGATTTGCAGGGTTTCATTGAATTAGACTGGGGCTGCGCGGTGCTATATAGTAAAACTTCGTAGGGACTGTAGGGCCTCGTGTCGTCAGGGCTTCAGTCTCAAGGCGAGTTAGGGCAAGAGTTCGACCCCAAGAAGGCAGAAAAAGAGCTTCAGGACTCTGGGGGTTGAAGGTAGGAAGCTCTAGGGGCTGTAGGGTTGAGCTAATAGGCTCTCAGCCTCTTGAGTGCAGACACACACACACACACACACCATGAAACTCAGAAGCAGAAGCCCACTGACCCAAACTCGGAGCGATTCGATGCAATTCGTCACAGTATCCTCTCATGGTCCTTGAATGCCCCCTAACTTGAACCCTAGACCCCAAACCCGAAAGCCCCCGGAGTTGGGCATTGAAGCTCTTCCCTGAGATTCCGACGTCGGTGCCGTGGCGATGCGGGCGCCTCCTTTCGCCGCTGAGGCGGAGGTCGGGGCCTTCCGGTGGAATCTTCTCGGCGGTAAAGGGGCTCCAACCAAAGGGGCTGTGGCGGGTACGGGTAGGGCTCGATAGTTTAAAAAAGTTTAGGATTAGAAACTGCATGGTTTTAAGGTTTCGGAACTCCCCCTTAGGCCTTTCATTTTCCGGGATCGAACGTTCAGATGTAAGCCTTCATGATTCCGAAGCCTCAACCCATAGAGCCCAAGTCCGCGTCGTTGCCGACTATGCCCGTAGGGTATTCTCGAGGATCCCTGTACAAAGGAGGCAATGGCCTTTTCTTGAAAGAGAAAGGAAAAAATTGGCCTCTCCGGGCGCAACCGGCTTGACACATGCCCTGCCTTCGTGGCCTCTGCGGCGGCTTCCTTTTGCTGCGGAGCGCCTTAGTTCCAGGGGGCTTTCTGATTCTGGATTTTCGAGTTGAGACGAAGGAAGCCCATGACATTATACCATATATTATGTACTATGTATTACATCTTCTATATTGCATAAAACACAGTATGTATTGTGTATTACATGTTCAACGTTATATGTTATATATTATATAAAACGCTACATATATATATATATATATATATGTGTGTGTTATAGTTTGTACGATATACTGTAGTTCAGCATAATGCATATTATATGTTGAATGGTGTATATGCTATTAGATATTGTTTATTGCGTATCACATATATCATACTATATATAAAGCATTACCAATTAGATACTACAAATTACGTGTTATATGCTATATGCTATATACTATAAACTATATACAATATACTGTTTACTGTATACACTATACTATACACAATACATTATATGATATGTATTATAACCATAATAATATTTAAATCATGTTATATATTTATTATACAACTACATATTATATATTATACCAAACTTTAGCAACACCCACACAAGACTCGGCCCTGAGGTCCTCGCCCGGCCGTCCGACCGGTTTCGCGATGCGCCTGACATGCACGCTTGGGGTATTGCTTTAGGGTGATAAGGGTTTAAGGCTTGGGGTTTAGGGGTCTCGATGTTTTGGAAACTCTCAGGGGATTACCGGGTTTGGGTGTCGAAAGCCCTTCCTATACCTAAACCCTAAATTCCCTAAACTTCGAACCCAAACACCCGGTTAAAATTCTTACACCCTGAAGAAAGCCCCAAACCCTAAACGTTGGCAAAAAAACCTTCTAGAACCCTTCTAGCATACTGTAAGAATGAAACCACAGAAAACAGAAATAGAACAACCCAAAGCTAGAACAAATCAAAGCCCAAGCCCCCACAAATCCCGAAAACCTCCGAACATCCTGAACCGAAAACCCTAAAACCCGAAATCCTAGCCGAAACCACCAAGACCCTAAACCGGAAACGCTGAACCCTGAACCGAAAACACCAAAAGTCTGACGCCTCGTGGCACCCGGAAGACGCGCCGGGGCCGAGCTCGGGGGCGAGGGCGTCGTGACCCCAGTGGAAGTGTCCGCAGAGGCTGCCTGGGGTTCCAATCAAGGTCTAGGGTTTAGGAGTTAACATTCAAGGTTTTGGGTTCAGGTCAGGGTTTGGCGTTCAGGATTTAGGAGTTAAAATTCAAGGTTTTGGGTTCAGGGTTTGGGGTTCAGGATTATCGCTCGGGTCCCTTTGAAAGGTGGATATCAAGGGTTGCAAGAGAAGGCTTTCGACAAAGGGCCTCAGTAGCTAGTGGTAAGTTAGTTAGTGGTGCGTAAGTTTCGGAGCGCGTAGGGTCCTTGTAATCTTTATTGTCCAGGTTTCGTGATCGGCTATAGAAACGTTGCCATTGGTGTCAATGGTGATGTGCTGGTGTTTAAAGGTCTTGTCGGATGTAGGTGTTTGGACTCTGTTGGAGTTCAGAGTTGAGGAGTTTCGGGTTTAGGCTAACACAAACCTACAAAGCGCACGCGTACACACACACACACACAAAACTTGCAAACGCACACATACACGGACAGGAAGGTCCGACCTAATCCCTTGAAGTCTTATTCACGCTCACACGGCTGCCTGCTCCTTCTGCAGCTGTTCCTTGGGGGCGTCGGTGAGGCGATTCATGCGCCGCGCATTGCGCTCGGCCAAGAATCGCGCCTCCACACGTTGGCAAAGCTGCTGAAGCTTCGGGTGGCATAGAATGGTGAACCGTGGTGCTAGTGCTGAGACAGTAGAGTCTGTTGTGTCGTATACAACTACTATGATGTAGCGCGACATGCTGTGGCTGTCTGACAGGGGGTCCCTCTAGCTTCAACTCTGCTTCCTAAACGCCCTGACGTCAGAAACGCACAGTTCCTCCAAGACACCGAAGCTTGGAGTGTCGGGCTTAAAGGTTAGAGTCTGTATATAGGCTCAATGTCGGTCTGGAGCGGCCTTCACACTTCGAACATCTCCACAAAAAGACTACGGGACAGGTCTGGATGCCGAAACAGAAAGAGCACCCTTCCCTCCAACAACCATTCCACGCTCACCGACACAGAAGCCCTAAAATCCAGAACCCTGAAGCCCTGAACCCTAAACTCCAAACCCCTCATAAGCTCCGATCTATTATTCCGCTCCTCAGCCCCCAAAAGAACCCCTCATAGATTCCCATCTAATTTAGAACCCGGTAAACAGAAAAAGAAAACATGGCACCTGCTTGCGCTTCTCCTCGATCCGCTGCGCCTGGGGCCGGAACCCACTATAAGCTCGCTTTGTTCAGAGTTCCTTTGCATGAGGTCTATACGGGATACCACAAGGGCCACTGTAAGGGATAGAGTAAATGTAAATAAGCTTGGCGCTTTAGCGTATAGGGTCCAAGGATGATAGGGCTGTTGGAGCTCTACTGGCTGTTGGGTTTCAGGCTTCTGGCGTTTACATAGCTGCTGGCGTTTAAGATTTGGGAGTGTTGGGGTGAAAAGGCTTCCAGTACAGGGCATTCAAGGGTTTGGGACACTCCGGTGCGTTGTGGAGACAGGCTTGGTGGTTCTCCCTTTTATCTCCAGCTAACTACTTAAAGTACTACACAATGCTGGGATTCCGTCAGAAGCTTGAAGTTTCGGGCATACCATCTTCTTCCGAGCAGCAGAGGCCGTTGCCTAAACGCCTGCAGGGCAGTCTGGCTTATGTAAGGCATGACCGAAGATGAGTGTGCATGGTACCGCCAAGCAGGAACCCACACATCTAGCTTGGCCCAGTAGAATCGGCACAGACCAGAACTCTGGAATAGACCCTACTGCACAGCACACCCTGCAGCATCACAGAGGTTGCCCGCCCGAGTGAGAAGTACACGGAGAATATAAACAAAATACTGAAGAGTCACATGCGGGAACCCCGAATGCGAAAAAAACAAGAAAAAAGACCCTGTAATCTTGAAGTCGTCTCCTGACAGAAGCGAATGGAAATGGCTTCAAGCTACGGGGTTTAGTGTGCTTCTCCTGGGGTAACGAGGGCTGCAGCAAACCCTAGGACCCACACCCCAACACCCGGCCCCAAATTCTAGACCCCTAAAAACCTCAAGCCCAGATCTCAAACCTGCACCCGACAGCCTATCTTAACCATAAACTTCAATTAAACCCTGCAACCCCCACCTCAATTTCAGCGGTGCTCATGGCTTTCCCACTAACACGCACTGTGGCAGCCACCCGGGGCACGTTGGGGCTGCCTCGGGCATGAGGTGGTCTCGGGTTGGCAGGGTTCAGAACACAGATGCTGCAGGGGTTCTGTAAGACCTTATAAAGTTGATATGTATATACATGCATGCATGCATGCATGCATGCATGCATACATACATACATACGTACATACCTACACACATACATACATACATACATACATACATACATACATACATGCATACATGCATACATGCATACATGCATACATGCATACATGCATACATGCATACATATACATATATATA